AGAGTAGAGTAGAGTAGAGTAGAGTAGAGTAGAGTAGAGTAGAGTAGAGTAGCGTAGAGTAGCGTAGAGTAGAGTAAGCTGACCTAGAGCTGCATGGGGCAGTCCAGTCAGAGTAGAGTACAGTAGAGTAGAGTACAGTAGAGTAGGCACAGCTCTGAATGAGCCAGTGTGCCGCGATGCTGCTGTGAACTTTAAAGTCATGACAGATGCGTAGCTGTGGAGGTATTTGAGTGCTTATTCACTCAAGATCTGATTTGAGTTTCTACTGACACAGTGCAATTCAGCCACAGAGCTTTCCTGTTTTTCCGCTACAGTGTTCGATGAGTCCTTACACCTGAAAATGACTGGTCCAGAGAGAAAACCAATCAGATTGTAGACGAGGTGGGTGCAAGCGTAGAGGAGGCGGGACCAAGATATCTGGTTGGTTGGTCCTACCTGCTCTAGTTGTGGGTTAGATCCTTCATGCCTGAACTGATTTGTGCCGCTAAGAGCGAAGTAGCTCTTTGCCGACGTCTGACTCAAGAATAACTTATTCATTCATTCATTCATTCGTTTTTTTAAGAGCAGTTGTCTGCATGAATGACGTGGCTAACTGGCTAGCAGCTCGCTGTCTCTGTCTCTCTTACCAAAGCAGGCAGTGGTGTCTCTACACCCCCTTCCACATTCCAGGTCACCCAAAGGTGATGGTCTATTCATACCGCTGCCGTTTACTGGAGGGGGGGGTAAATATCTTTGTTATTATTCTTATATATTTTTTGCTCTTTGAAAGTTTTCCCCTCCTTCGTTCTCTCCGTATCTGTGACCTTTTCCCTCTCTGGACGGCTTTCATACCCGCCGTGCGATTTGACGGTGCTGAATCGCGGAGCTTTGAAATCAAGCATAATGATGATGTGGCTCGTCGGTGAGACTTGCAGTGACATTTTCCGCATTAATCCCCGCAGCGGCATGACAGGTGTCCTTTCTTAGATGTGCGACGAGCCGAGCGGGAATCGCCGCGGTGGCCGGAGCAGAGCGGCGGCTTTACGTTATCGCCGCCGTCTACCTGCGTTTCGCTTTGCACCTGATCACAGTAAAGCAGTGATGCTGAATGATGGATGAGTGTAAATCGGCAACTGGGTAAACGATGGCGGGCCGGAGGGGGCCGGTCACTGCGCGTCTGCTGAGTTCGGAGACGCCGGCACGTTACGAGACTGGTGCCGTTATACAGAGGCTCCCCGCCTTGGGTCACATTGGTTACAGACGGCTGTTGGCATGGCGACGCCCCGAGCTTCCATAGGCTGAGAGGTGTGTCTGTCTGACCTCTTGACCCCTTTCCTTTTCAGCTGCTGTGTGGGCCTAAGCCCCCCCCCCACCACGAGTTCCGCTGGGTCCTCATTATCAAAGCGGCCTGGGTTTGGCCCGTGTACCTCACCTGTCCAGGCGGTATCTGTTGAGGCGCGGGCCGGGGGGCGGGGGGCGGGGTAGGGGGGCTGGGGTGGGTGTGTTTTCCATGCTGGCTGATGACATGCAGGGTAAGAACTCGCCGTCCTCATTTGACGCCTGTCGCGGGGTCGTCGGGTTCCTGTGCGTTGCTGGCCTCTGCTGGCTTGTCGCTCTTTTCCTCTTCTCTCCTCTTCTCTTCTCTCCTTCTCTTCTCTCTTCTGTATTTCTTCTCATTCTTTCTGCTCCTCCTTTCTTCTTTTCCTCCCTTTTCCTCTTCTGCTCTTCTGTTTTCTTCTCCTCCTCTTCTCTCTTCTCCTCCCCCGGCTCAACGCTCTTCTCATCCTCTTCTCTTTTCTTCCTCTTCTCCTATTTTGTCCTCCTTCGCTCTTCTCCTTTTCTTTCTTCTCCTCTCCAGCCAGATGTTCTTCTCCTCCTCCTCTTCTCTCTCTTCTCCTCCTCCTCTTGTCTCTCTTTCCCCCAGTTTCTCCCTGCCAACTTCAGCACCTGCTGGAGCCTTTTCACACGACGTCACACAGGACAGGAAGACTCGCCTGCAGTTAAACCTCCATTAGGTGGTGTCTCGTGAATTTAGCGCGCGGCTAACAGTTAGCCGTGAGTGTGACTGCTTGTCTTTGGCTTCCCCTCTTCCCCTCCACCCTGCCAGATGGGCTCGGATCTGAGCGGGGCACGGCTAACTGTCGGACGGCTGCTTGGAGGGGGTGGGGGCTGTGTAATCGAGCCTCAGGTCGGTTTAGGCATCTTGGCGAGAATCAGTTGGGGGGCGTCAACAGTCTTCTGTCTGGCTTTCAGTGGAAGTCGAAGATGGTTAAATAGGACAGACAGACAGACAGACACACACACACACACACACACACACACAGGTTTGTAATTATACCTTTGTGGGGACTCTCCATTCATTTCTATGGGGAAAACTAATCCTAACATGACGACCTTAACCCCTACCCAGCCCTAACCTAAACCAAAAGCAATCGAACAAAATACGAGACTTTTGAGATTTTTAGTGTTTTGCTTTCACTTATCTTAGTGGGGCCCTGAAAAATTGTACCCACAAAGTCACAATAACAGGTTTTTATTACATTGTGTGGGACATTTGGTTCCCACAATGTAATATAAACATAATCCACACACACACACACACACACACACACACACACACACACAGGACTTTCCTTACCATACATCTGGCAGTTTAATTTACTTTATATGGTTTTCTGTTAAATTCATACTCATTCCTGTATGCCTTTCTTTCCAATCACAGATGTTCAAAGACCTTTTATTTTGGATGTAATGTGGGGAGGGAATCTGGGGAGGAGGGGGGCTGGGGGGGCCCGTCTCGCCCAGGCAGCTCTGGCTGAGGAGAGACGAGGCCACACGCAGCCGGAGGCGCCGTCTGGCCTCAGGGTGGCGCTGCTCGCGTGCCGGGGCGGCCTCCATGAATAAGTAATAGAGCGGCTCGCATATTTAACCACGCCTTATGCGTTTGACTGACGGGCCTCTGCGGGGGCTCCTCAGGAGGAAGGCGTGTGATGGGGGAGGGGGGGCTCTTTACGGGTGGTGCTTTGTGAGCTGTCGGCACGGCGACGCTCTCACACGCGCGGCACTCATCAAGCGAGAGTAGGCATGTAATTCTGTAGGCAGCCAGTAGGGGGCCCGGGGTGACCTCCCAGCAGGACCCCCCTCCTCTGATGTTTCCCGCCAGCTTGGTGGCGCCATACCTGCTGTGTTCCAGGGGGTGGGGGGGCTGCGATAAAGTGCAATGGGAGGGTGTCGCTTGCATGCTGGCCTGCCGTTGCTGTCTGGGCTGGGTGGACGAGCTTTGTGGAAACTGGGAATGCTGGTGTGGCGTGGTGGGGGGGGGGCATGTTTTGCTGGTCTGCATCCTGTTAATGAGGTTGACTGGGTTTCTGGATCATCCCCCCCACCCAGGTCAACTTACTGCAGATCTACATATCTTGCTCGTAACGCAGGTCTTAATTGCAGAAGCGTTTCTTGTCTCCTTGCATGTGAGCAGTACCATGAAGGCATCTGCTCAAGTTCCTTTAGTTCACTCTCCTCTTGGGTCTCTGTTATTTTACTTTTAAACTCTTCTTTTTCTGGCGACTTTATAACATGAAAGCGATATGCGTAGAATGACCGTAACCAACTGGGGGACTCGTTTCAGGTCATGTGATGTATCCCGCATCAGCCTGAACCGCATTCCAGTTTCTTTGCCGGTTGAATTTCAGCAGGCCGCTAGCCGACGTCAGCAGGCCGCTAGCCGACGTCAGCAGGCCGCTAGCCGATGTCAGGAGGCAGACAGAGAGGCTTTTTCGTGTACGTGCACTTCTGTCTCGTTAACTGCCGAAAAAAATACACACACAGCCTCCTCGACGGCTCCTGTGGACTCAGCAGATTGGGGACGATATCACCCCCCACCCCCACCCCCCCCCGGCTTCTCTGTGTACGCGGGCCGGGACGCCGGGGCTCGTCCCTCGGGCCAGCTGGCGTTATCGCGCTCGCTAACGGCTGTACCCCTCTGCCCCGCTTGACAGGTGCCTGAACGCCTGCACGTACTGCAAAACCAAGCATGCCAGGGGCAACCTGGCCAGCTACCCCGTGGAGCAGCTTGTGGACAGAACCCGGCAGTCCTTCCTGGGTGAGTGTGGCACACGAGGACAGCCAGCCGTCCGGAACAACACCCCCCCTTAATTCTGACTTCGATTTGCAACTTTGACACTCCGTATATATATATGAATTAACAACATTAGGGATTTCTGGGAAATATCACCGTATCGCACAGTGATCTGGGTGATTAGATCATCTTCATTGGGTTGTAGGGCGGGGGAAAAGAAACTCCCCTGAAGCAACAGAGCTATTTCTGTAGTTTGTCACCATCATTCCCAGTCACTAGGCAGACAGGCGGGCTGAGAGCCCCTCTTGCAATCTGCTTAGCCAATCAGCATAGCCGATCAGCCCCAGCGGCCAATCAGCAGCCGGTCTCCGCTTGGCTCCAGCAGCCAATCGACGCTCCAGTCTCCAATTGGCAGAAAAGCTGCCGTCCAATCGCGGCTGCGTGCGGCCCACCGTGGCGTTTACCTAATGATGTTTTGTGCTGGGTTTGAACAGGTATTGTTTTGGGTGCCCCATATTATCGCAGGACAGGGAATTAGGCTTTGAATAAGAACAGCAGGCTGCTGTCTGCGTTGGTGTGGACACCCAGGTCCATTGCAAGTTTGGTTTATGAGAACCTGGCTGTGATTTAATCTCCCCTCAGTGTTAAGTCTGTTTAAATCCACTACTGGAACAGACCTCTGATTTATTACTGTCCCTAAAAAGCAGGGGCTTTCTTAAATAGGATTAGAAAAACAATCTCAGTTTGTAACGTATGAAAATATGCCGGTGTTTTGGTCTTGTCGGATGGCCTTCTGGAGCGGATGAGGGTTTCAATCCAGACGTGAGTTTGAGTTGTGGATGTGACCCCGTTCCCCAGAACCCAGTGTACGGAATTGGATCCCTAATTGTTACCGGGTTCTGTGTGAGTTACTCACATCAGCTGCTCTGCTGGGTGGGGGGGTGGGGGGGCGGGGCACCAGTGTCAGAGCCCCAGCGGTAGCCGGTCATCATTACTCCTCACACATCTCACCTGTTTCTCTGTTTCCTTCTTTAATGTGGTAATTGCAGTAGTTAGTGATGCTCCACTCTGAAGATTGAATGCCCGTTAATTCCAGGTGTGTAAATATCTCACCAGAGTTTGTCTTGGTATCTTTGTTTTCTAACTCCGTGTCCGTCGCTGAGGCCGCGCCCCCCAGCTTACTCGCTGTGGTGCTCACGGGGAAGGCGTGGCCCTGGGGGGGGGTGGGGGGCAGGATTGCAGAAGTTCTCTACTGCGTTTGGGAACTGAAAAGAGGAGAGGGAAGGGGGGAGGTGAATGCGGAACAGATTGGAGCGGGCCGTTGGCGGTTCTCCGCAAGACGGAGATTGGGAAGTGGGCGTCCTCGGCCGTCCGGGGGGCGGGGGGGAAGGGGGATATCGCTGTCACACAGTGACCCTTTTAGTGATGTATCCGCATTGCCTGATGGGCGACCGTGTCAATCCCAAGATAATTAAGAACAATTAACTGCTATCTTAACATCAATGTCCCCCACAACTAAGGCTGATCAATGTGAGCGGAGGACGTTCTCCCTCCTCGAGATCTGGCCTTGGCCCCCCCCCCGACTCATTCCCTAGACATGCACGGAAACACATCCAGTCTGTGGCTCTTGCGTCGGATGGTGAACCACTTCCCTCTCTTCCGGTCACATGGCGGCTGGCGATAGCGACCCGATTCCCGGGCAAAACGCCGTGGCGAGGCAGCCTAGCTGTCCCTGGCATTTCCACTCCACAGTCAGGTACGGTGGCTTCCCGTGCCTTTGCTCCCGGGTGACACTGGACCAATTAAAAAGCTTTGAACTTACATCTGGCCTCTTATTGGCTCCCTTGTTGTGTGGTGCTGACCGACGCTCGGATCATCTCGCCTCGGCTTTGCTGGCTTCCGGGAGCGTTTTACTGCCATGCCCCAGCAGGCTTTCTGCCCAACGCAGTGCTCTGATAGGTTCGCAACAGGGTTGTGGTGACCCTGGAGCCTGTCCCAGCATGCACTGGGCCTGGGAGCAGAGTGGAGGGGGTGACAGGACCAATCAGCTGCATGCGGGAAATTGGTATTTGTCCAGAAAGACTTTTCTCACATGTTAGAAAAATCAGCGTGAGAGTCTCTGTCACACTCCTGCACCCCGCTTCTCCATCCCTGTGGACAGGTGGGGGAGGAGTCTGTCATTTAATAACTCAAGGCTTGTAGACATACCCCGCCATGCCTTTAAATAATTGGCACGTCCCCTCCAGATTCCAGAATGTCACACCAGGGACCAATGTTGTTGTTGTCTCGTTGTTTTTATAGACTGGCTGTTTTTTGTTGTTGTTTTAAGTAACTGAATCCACTTATTTTGATTGTAACACAGAAGTACTTTCATGGGCCGGGTTTTGGGGAGTAGTGCTAGTTCTGCTTCACATTAATGACCGTGACCTGATCTCCTCCCCCTCCTTGTGGGATGTTTTTCAGAACAGTGTTCGTTATGTAGAGTGTCCTGTTTTTTTTTTCTTTTTCTTTAACTGTGAAGGCTCTCATTGGCTGGAGGTAACGATGTGAAATCCTCGCTAAGGTACACAGCAGCCGTTCATCTGTTTGCTGCTGCCTGTTGTGTCGTTCTGAGGTGATGTAATATTTTACTCCTGTTTCTCGCATTGTTTGAGGCCTGCTTTTAGCCTGAGGCCTGACATTGGACTCAACCTCATCTACTTCCCTGTCCTGCGTGACGGTCTATGTACAGTCTATGTCTTTATTGTTTTGCTGCCTGGATTAACTCCTGTTCTGCCAGCCTGGACTCTCTCCTCTTTGGTCCCTGTCACCAATGCATCCTAGCGCTGTAGTCAGGGAAACGGCATGAGGGCAACCGTCTGGTGTAACACACTGCGGGTCTGAGATGGTGGTTGGTACTATGCAGGTAGTGTAAGCGTGAAGCCGTGCGAGGGCGCCCCCCCGCTGGCTGGTCTGTTGAGCATGTGGGCGCACAGCACCAGGGTGTGAATGACGGAGCTCTCCTCGGATCTGTGGATTAAACGCACTAATAAATCCTCCATGCCTGATGTCGGCCCTTGGCGTTTTCCTCTGCCTGTTGCCAGCGTCCCTGTGTTGCGTCTGGTTGGATAAGGAGCCAAGCGCGTGAATCGAGCCAATGGGGTGTGATGACAGCACATGCCCTGGCACATCTCACCGCAGTGCCCCCTACTGACCATCTCGCTCTGTAGCGGTATGTTCATTCTCGGATTTGACTGGAATTTAAGCTCTCAGTCAAACATTTCACCACTGGTGAGGTTTATTACATGGGGTGAAATTCATCCTTGTTCTTCCGGGCTCTTCCGTGACATGGGGAATCCTCTTGGCATGTTGGGCAATGTTATCCCAGCCGAGTTTAAGGAGCATCCGTGAGTTACTCCCAACATCAAAGTCTGCATGGATTATCGTGTTTTATCCCTTATCCATTGTCAGCCATTTGCCCACAAGATTGTTCTAGAAGATTCGTTTGATTTGACAAGCGGTGTACCAGCGCTTTCCCCTTCCCATTTCCATACCATCTGTTTATCTCTGAAATGTTAATAAAGATACTTGTTAATTGCTTGACTGTGGGGTACCATCGCTGTGAATCCAAACAGAGCCATTTGACGGTGCCCAGTTGCCCGTCCTGCCTCTGAGGGGCTACCCCCCCCCTACCCGCAAAAGATGTAGTTTGTGTACTGCTCCTGTTTCCTGTTCACCATCTTGTTGCTCTGTGGCTTGGTCAACTGCAGCTCTACCTGCAGTTAACCAAATTTATCCGCAGGAATCTGGCTCTATCCACAGGTCACTGGCTCTATGCGCAGGTAACAGGCTTCACCTGTAGGTAACCAGATCTGTCCTCGGGTAACCAATTCTGTCCGCGGGTAACTGGCTCTACCCGCGGGTAACTGGCTCTACCCGCGGGTAACTGGCTCTACCCGCGGGTAACTGGCTCTATCCATGTGTAACTGGCTCTATCCATGTGTAACTGGCTCTGCTGGCAGGTTACTGGCTCTACTTGCAGGTAATTGGCTCTACCAGTGGGCAATCAGCTTTATCAGTGGGGAACCGGCTCTATCAATGTCAGGTCAAGTCATGCCAAACTTAACTCTTATTTCACAACATGCAACACACAGTGACACGAAACAGCACTTGTCAAAGACTTTAAAAACGGCTTCACACATAATAATCATAAATGAATGAATAAATAATCATTCTGTACATGATGTGTCCCACTGCTAACTAGGCCTGGGCGGTATGTCAGCCTGCAGTGGCAGAATGCTGGGTGTATA